TGGCCATCCTTGCTGTGACCTTACGTTAGTCTTGACCAGCTCTAGCCCTGCCTTTAGCCTTTTCTGGACCTGCCCTGACCCTGTCAAAACTTTTGCCCTGCCCTGATTTGGTGGTCTTGTCATATCCCTGGCCCTAGCCCTTTCCTTTTGCAGGCCCTGACCCTGGACCACAGGTCTGTCTTGGACCTTCCCTGCCCTTTCATTCCCTGGTCTTGCCCTCACCCTGAAATGACCCTGTACTGGCACTCTCTGCCTTGGCACAGCCTTGGCTCTGGTCCTACCTTCTTCCTTACCCTGACCTTGCACTGTCATCCTCTGTTATGGCCCTGTAATGGCCTCAGAATACCCTGGCCCTGTTCCTAGTTGTACCCCAGCTATGACCCCTGCCCTGCTTTTTGCTATGCCTTGTACTATCCTAGCCCTGCCCTGTTATGGAACTGCCCGTAACCAGGTCTTGCACTGCCCTCTCCCTGCTTTTGCTTCTTGCTGGTTCTGGTTCTGCCTTGATCTTGCCCTCCTCTTGACCCTCCATGTTTCTGCTTTCTCCTTGGCTCTGCATTTGCTGTGGCCTTGGCCCCAGCCTAGACATGGCCACAGTGTCTTAGACCCTGACCATACATTGCTTCTGGCCTGGGTCTGACCTTGCACAATCCTAGTTCTACCCTGGTTCTGGTCTTGCCACTCTGACCTGGCCCCAGCCCTGACCTTGGCCACTGGCTCATGCTCCTATCCCTGGTCCTGCCATGGTCCCAACCCTATCATGGTCCTGCCCCAGTCTTGTCCTAGACCTGGCCATGGCACTAACTCTGTCCTGGTCCTGACCTGCTTAAGGCCTTATCATGACACTGGCCTGGCCCTGGCCCTGATTTGCCTGAGCCCTAACCCAGTACACGCTCTTCTGATCCTCGCCCTGACTCTGGCCCTATCACTGTCTGGACCTACCCCTGTTGCTGGTCCTGCCATGTCCCAGACTCTGGCCCTGAGGATCTTTCTTTGCCTTGTTCCTGACATTGCCCTTTTTCCTAGTCCTGGTCCCAGCACTGGCCCTGCCGCAGCACTTCTCTGGTTCTGGTCTGGACCCCAGCCCTGCAATGGACTTGCCCTACCTTTATCCTGTGCAACTCTGGTCTTGTCCTGCCCTGTCCCGGTGGTGACTTGGCCTTGCCATGGTCTGGTCCTCCCATTGCCCTGCCTATCCCTTCCCTGGTTGTGCCCTGGACCTGTCCTGATCCTGACCCCTCCCTGTTCATGTCTTTGATCTGACCCTTACTCAGCTATGGACCTTCCCTGATCCTTCCTCAGCCCTTGCACTCAGAGCTGTCATTCAGCCCTGGTACTACCTGGTCCTGCCTTGGGACTTTCCCTGCCCCATGGTCTGGTTCTGGTACTTCCCTGCCTTGCCCTGAGCTGGCCCTGGACCTGGCCCTGGCCCTACCCTTATCCTGGTCCTGATCTGCATGACCCTGCCCCTGCAAGCTCTGACCTTGCCCTTACCCTGAAATTGTCCTGCTCTTCCCTGGCTCTGTCTTGGCTCTTGCCCTGCCTTCTTATCAGACTTGCCCTCATCCTGCTCTGGGATGATGACCCAAGGCCTACTCTGTCCATGGTATAGTCTGGCCCTGCACTGCCCTCCTCTTCCCTGGCCATGCCATGTCCAGAGCCCAGTGTTTTCCCTGGCCCTACTTCTAGTCCTCCCCTGCAATGGCCCTCCCCTGCATTTGGCCAGGCCGTGTGCTACCTTGTTCCTGCTTTGCTCTGGTCCTACCCTTAACCATACACTGGTCCTGGACCTGCCTTTGTCTTTTCCTGGTTCTGCACTGGCTCTCTCCTTGCTCTGCACCTTCCCTGGACCTGGACTTGGACTGGTCCTGTCCTTGATGCAGCCATGCCTTGTCACTGGATCTGTCTTATGGCTGACTTGGTCCTGGTCTATCTTGTTCTGGTTATGGTATGGCACTGACCCTGCCTTGTTCAGGCCATGGACCTGACCATGCCCTGGCGATGGAGCAGCTTTGCTCTTCACTGGCCCTACCTTAACCCTGTGCTATCCTAGTCCTGCCTTAGCTTTGACCTTGCCCTGGCCCTACTCTGGCCTGCTGTGGCTCTCCCTTTCCTTTGCCTTGACTGGTCCTGACTCTGGTTCTCACATGGCTCTGTCCTTGCCTTGGCTCCCCCGTGGCGCTGCCTTTTCCTTGGTCCTTCAGTGGCCTTGCCCTTGTCCTGGCTCCTTTCTGGCCCTGCCTTGTTGTGGGCCCTGCCTGGTCCATGTCCTCAGCATGGCCTTCTGTGACCACATTCTGACATCCTCTTGCTGCATTCTTGCTCTACACTGGCCCTATCCTGCCTTTGCTCTGCACTACCCTATCCCTGCCCTAGCTTGCACTGGTCCTGATCCTGCCCTGCCCTAAGCCCTGGTCCTGCCCTGTTTCTGCTCAGTCCTGGCCCTCATCTTGGTCCTTTCATGTCCCTGGCTCTTACCCTGCCCCTGAATTTTTCCTGGCCATGACCCAACCCTCTTCCTGCCCTTGCTCTGGCCCTGCCACAGTTCTGGTCCTGCCCTAGCACAGTCCTGACTGGGCACTGCCATTTTCCTTGCCCTGCATTGCCAATATGAAGGTGTTAACCCAGCTCTGGTTCTGTCATGGCCCTCACTTGGCCATGGTCCTGATCTTACCCATTCCTCCAGCCATCCTCCTGTCATCCTCTATCCTGGCCCTGTACTGGCCACAACATACCCTGGTCCAGTGTTTGCCCTTGCCCTGATCCTCATCCTTCCCCTACTATGGTCCTACCCTGCTTTTGGCCAGGCCCTGTGCTCCCTTAGTCCTACTCTGCCCTAGCCATACCCTACCCTGGCCCTACATTTGGTTTCTCCTGGTCCTGGTTCTGCCCTTGCCCTGGACCCTAACTGGTCATGACCTGATCTGGCCCTGTCCCTCACCCAAACTTGACCTGTCCCTAAACTGGCCCTGGCAATGTACTTGCCCTACAATTGCTGTGCCTTGGCACTGGACACACCCTATGTCTGCTTTGACCCTGGCCCCTCCTTGGCTCTGCATTTACCTTCCCTGCCCATAGCAATGTGCTGACACTGCCCATGCCATTGAATTGACCCTGACCTGGCCCTGTCATTCTCTGGTTCTGCCCTGGCACTAGCTCTGTCTTGGTCCTGTGCTATTTTAGTCCTAACTTGTCCCTAACCTTGCCCTAGCCCTACCCTGGCTTGATGTGTCCCTCCCTACTCTGGTCTTGCTCAGTCCTGGCCCTGCCTTTGGCCTCCTCTGACTCAGGTTCTGAACTAGCCGTTCTTGCCTTCAACCCTCCCTGGCTTGCTTATCTCTGGCACTTCTTTGGCCTTTTCCTTACCCTTGGCCTTCCCTGTCCCTGCCCCTGCTCTGACTCCTATCTGCCCTGCCCGTTCCTTGTCCCTGTACTACACTGGCCCTAGCAGGCCCTACACCTTCCCTGGACCTGGGCTGGCCATGCCTTCACTATGACCCTGCCTTTTGTCCTGACGTTGGTCCTGACATGACCCCAGGCTTGCCAGTGCTCATGATCCTTGTCCTGTTCTAGCTGTGACCTGTACTTGGACATGTCATGAGCCTGATTTGTCCCATCCTTGCCTTGTCCCTTCCCTGCCCTGTCTCCACCACATCCTTGCCTGTTCTGCTCTCTCCCAAGACTGACCTAGCCATGCCATGATCCAGTAGTGTCACTACCCTGGCCTATCCTACCATGGTTGTGCCCTGGACCTTGTCCCTGCTGGATCTATCCTCACCCTACCTTGACTTTTTCTCTACTCTGTATGGACTGGCTCCGTATCTGCCCTACCATGGTCCTGCCCTGTTCCTGCCATATCCCTGACCATAACCCTGCTCTTATCCAGGCCTGACCCTGACCCTTCCCTGGTCCACACCAAGGACCTGGTCCTGCTCTGTATTGGTATAGCCCTTGTCTTGAACCACCCTTCCCTGCTGTGCCCTGGCTGTGTCTTCACCCTGCCCTAGCCCTGCCCTTGGCCTACTCTGGCTTAGACCCTGACCTGGCCCTACCTTGACCCTTAACCTAGCTTTGACTAGGCCCTGCATGGGACCTGGCCCTAGCCCAGACCTGGTCCTACACTTTGCCTTGCAATAGCCCTGAATCTGCCATGGTCCTGAACTGGACTTGGAGGTATCCTGTCCCTGAATTGACCTGGCCCAGCCTTGGCTTGTCCTTACTTTGGCCCTACCATCGTCTTTCCCTGCTCTGCCCTGTCTTGGCAGTGAAATGACACTGCAACCTCCCAGTCGTACCAATGCCCTGACCTACCCTGCCTTACCTGTGCCCTGGCCCTGGTCCCACCCTTGATTTTCACTGTCCTTTCCTCAGCCCTGGCCCTACCTTATAGCATTGTCCCTGCATTTTCTATGAACCAGCTCTGGCCATGCCCTGCCACAATCTTGCCTTGTGACAGTCCTGGCCCTTCCCCCACCCTGGTCCTGATCCTTAACCTACTCTGGCCTTTCCTTGGACTTGCCCCTCTGTTATGGCCCTACCTTGGCAATAACCTAGATCCTGGTCCTGGTCCTGCCCTGCTTGAGGCCTTTCCCTGGTTCTTCCCTGGTCCTGATCCTGTCTGACCCTGAAGTGCCTGGCATTACCCTGGCCTTGCACTGTTCTGGGCCTGACTCTGGCACTGTTACTGCCCTAGCCGCAGCCCAGTTGCTGGTGATGCTATGGCCCTGACCCTGTCCCCAGACCCTGGCCATGCCATGAACCTGCCCTATCCTTGCCCCTGTCCTGTCCCTACTCTGGCCATTCCCTGTCCTTTCCTTGGTCTTGGTACCATCCTAGTCCTGCCTCTGCCTTGGCCCTACCCTAGGTTTGACCCTACCCTGGCCATCACTCAAGAGTTGGCTGGGTCCTGTCATGGACCTGACCACAGCACAGACCCAGCACTTTGGGATGCCGATGCAGATGGATCACTTGAGGTCACAAATTCATGACCAGCCTGATCAATGCTGTGAAACTCTATCTTTACTGAAAATATAAAATGTAGCTGGGCGTGGTGGCAGGCACCTGTAATCCCAGCTACTCAGGAGGCTAGCACAAGAAAACTGCTTGAACCCGGGAGGCAGAGGTTGCAGTGAGCCCAGATTTTAATGGGCAAAATAGTTCCAGGTTTCTAAAGCTGAGTGTTCTGAGCAGTAAGCTTTGAATCCTGAAAAATTTACTTACCAGAACATTCTTTAGTGATGTCCAAGAAGTGAGGTGTGTCTGCTCTGCAGAGATGAGTCAGGAGTAGTCAAGAAGCAGGTGGCTTGTCAACTCTGCCACACCAGAAATGATGCTCAGCAGGGCTTAGCAACAGCAGTCTCCCCTCTGAACCCAAAAGGTAAAGTCTAGGAGGAAACAAGAGGGGAGTTAGCCATGTTACAGAGGAACTCCTGAGGTTGGGAGGCCCCACAGGAAGGAAAATGCCAGGGAGACAGAAGCTTCTGACCAGTGTTCTCAAGTGGATTGTAATTAAAAAGTAGCTTTGGCAGCCATCCCAGAGCAAGCTCATGAGAGATGGGGTGACACAGCTGCCTGGCAGTTCTGGAGTTAAGCCCGGCCCTGGAGAAGCGGAAGTCCAGGGTGCCACCTGCGTCTGCATGGCTGGAATCAAGTCCATCACTTATTCTCCTCTTCCCTCCAAACTGTCACTGTAAGATTCTGCTCTGTCACTTACTAGCTGTGTGACCTTAGGCAAGTTACTTAATGTTTCTGAGCCTCAGTAAATGGCAGCTAATATTATTGTTTATTGTTATCAAAAATGGCTACATTTTTATAGGGTCACACATGGCCATTATCAGTTAGCACTGGGAAAGGCAAACATTTCTTCTGACGCATTAGATGATAAATATTTAGACACTGTAAGCCAACAAGCATTACAAATATACATGTATATAGTTCATACATACACAGCTACAAGTACTCAGACACGGGCTCTTTCGCCAATGGCAATGACTTTCTTGCCAAGACTGGATTGATCAGTGGTCCTTCTCATGTGACATTTTCATGTGAAGTGTCAAAGGCTGCTGCCTTCTCTGTCCTGTCATTACACAACACTGAGTGAGCCCACTCTGGCCCCACTCCTGAAACCTCAGGACCAGGATCAGGAAGTGAGAGGCCAGGGGTCTCTCTTGCCCTGAAGTTCTAGCTACAGCCCCAGCTCTGGGCTCACCCAGGAGCCGTGTTTGTGCACTCCCAGACCAGTGTGGGTTACACTGTGCCCCCCACTTAGAACACCTGGGGATGCCAAAATGAACCAAATGCGTCAGTGGCCAGAGAGAAAGGCAACAGCTAGTGTGGCCACTCGCTGGGGACTCCCCTGCATCCCTGGGCTGGTGTGGATAGAATGATAGAAAGATAAGAAACCTGAACAGACCAGTTATGGGTAATGCAATTTACGTAGTAATGAAAAGTCTCCTGTCAAAGAAAAACACAAGAATCATGGTTTTACTGATGAATTCAATGAAACATTTTTAAAAGTGCTAATACCAATTTTATTCAAAATATTTCCCCAAAAATGAAGAGGAAGGAATATGTCCAAACTTGTTTTATGAGGCCAGCACTATTCTGGTACAAAAATCAGACCAAAACAAGACACAAAAAAGAAAAAGGCAAATAAACCTGATGAACACAGATATAAAAAATCCTCAAGAAAATACATGAAAACTGCATTTGACAAGACAACAAAAGGATCATCTGCCATGATGAAGTGGGATTCATCTGAGAAATAGGAGAATGATTCAATAAACACAGATATATAAATATGCCACATCACATTCAACAAATCAAGAAAAAAACCATATAATCATTTCAGTAGATGCTGAAAAACATAAAATTCAACATTCCTTCATAATAAAAATTCAAAAAAGCTATTTTATTACTGCTGCCACCAACAAAAGATACCTAGGGATAACCAGAGAGTTGGAAGATCCCACAAGAAAAACTATAAATCAGATGAAAGTATTAAAGCAGGCACATGTAAATGGAAATATATCCCATGTCCAAGCACTATGAAGAATGTTAAAATGTGCATTACCAGTGAGATCTACAGAATCAATGCAATCCACATGAAATTACAAGATATTCTTCATAGAAATAGAAAAAAAGCAACCTAAAATTTACAGACATCCAAAATACTTCAGATAGACAAAAGAATCATGAATATAAAGAAAAAAGCTAGAAGCATCAACATACGTGATTTCAAAATATATTACAAATCTATAGTAACAAATACAGCATAATACTGGCCAAAAAAGGTGCAAGTGAGAGACAGAGAGAGACAGACAGACATAGAAGAATGACAGACAGACATACACAGATGAAACAGAATAGAGAACTCAGAAATAAATTAATGCCTTTACAGGAAACTCATTTTTAACAAAGGCACAAAGAACACACCTTTGGAAAAGACAATCTCTTCAATAAACTGCTAGGAAAACACAACACCCACATGTACAAGAATAAATCTAGAACGTTATCTTACCAAATACAAAAACCTACTCAAAATAAAGATTTAAATGTAGGACCTGAAACTATGAAACTACTAGAGAAGAAAACAGCTTAAGTGCTTCATGAAATTCGTTAGGACAAGGGATTTTCAAATAGACATCAAAAGCACAAGCAACAAAAGCAAAAAGAACCGAATACAATTACATTCAAATTAGAAACTTCTGTGAAGTAGAGGAAGCAATCAGAAGAATGCGGAAACAATCCAGAATATGGAAGTATCTGCAAACTATGCCTCAGGAAAGGGGTTAATACACAAAACAAAGAACTCAAACTACTGAGTTTGAGTTCCTAATACCTATTGTCCTTCTAGTATTTGCTGTATGTGAAGCTGCAATAGGCGTAGCCCTACTAGTCACAATTTCCAACACATACAACCTAAGCCATGTGCAGAACTTAAACTACAGGTGCACACCACCACGCCTGGCTAATTGTTAAATGTATTGTAGAGGTGGGATCTCACTATGTTATGCAGGCTGGTCGCAAACTCCTGGGCTCAAGCAATCCTTCAGCCTTAGCCTTCCAAAGTGCTGAGATTACAGATGTGAGCCATTTCACCCAGCCATTTCACCATTTCGCTAAACTTTAGACTAATTAAACTCATTTCCAAAAAAATACATGTTTATTGTAAAAACAAATTAAGCAATGTGGAAAGATGTAAAACCAAAATCTTTTTCCTTCTTCTCTTCGTCTTATGCCCTGGGTGTGAACTCTGCTAATATTTGGTTTATCTTTCTCACATCCTCTATCTCTTATATAGCTGGGATAATATGTGAGGTTTCACCAATTATGGTTTCCCCATCCCACACTCCCTTTTCTCTGGATTCCTCCTCCAATTACCATTTGGGGGAATAGATGCAAGATATCCATTGTTTAAGGAAGCTGTCACAGTGGAATCAGTGAAGAAATATGCAAAATTCTTGAGTTTTAAGACAAGAGTTCTCAACTCAGACATAAGATCCAAAAATTGAACAAATAGTATATTGGCTCGATCAGTTTTCTTTACACTCTTCCCAACCCCAGACAAGATAAAGCTGAGTTGAGGGAAGAGGTGAAATGTGGCGGAAGTAATGATAAAAGCAGTCATGGTCTCCAAGAAGGAATATCCCTGTATCCTACTTAGGGGTTAGATGTAAAGAAGTATGAGAGCCTATTATTGAATTCTCCAGATAAAGTTTGGGGATGCAGGTGCAGAAGTGGCAGTGACACACTTCCACCTGGAGGTCTGGGGAGCAGACACCTCTCCCTGAGACTGAGATATAAAGTATATCTCCAAGCCTAGGAGCCAGACTAAGAAAAAAGAACAATTCTTAATTAACTAAGCTTAAATGTAAAATGCCTGAATTTACCGAGAAATGACCATGACTAATTTTCTGCCCCTATGACAATTGGAGATTCCAAAGAAAGGTAAAATTGTATAATGGAACAATAAAAAAAGTTATATTCTGTACACCCTAAAAAATAATTTAAAAAATATAAAAAATATTATCCCCAAAATTTGGGATATCATACTACTACCAGTAACATGACTCTTAAAAAATAACAATCTGAATCAACACAGCCACCCATAGCTTATTTATTAGCCTCTTTGCACTATTACGCTTTTGCCAACCCAACAACAACCCACGCAGCCTCTCACTACCTTTCCTTTCAGACCCATTAACATCCCCTCTTCTAATTTTAACAGCTGATTACTACCCCTTATAATTCTAGCTACTCAACGTCACGTAGCCACTGATTCTTTCCCAAATAGCTCTGTATTTCCACACTAATTCTTCTACAGATTTTTCTAATTATAGCATTCACAGCCACAGACCTAATTATATTTTATATTCTATTTGAAGCTACATTAATCCCCACTCTAATCATCACTACCTGCTGAGGGTATCAGCCAGAACGCCTTAGTGCAAGCTCGTATTTCTTATTTCATACACTAGGGGGATCCCTCCTCTTACTTATTACACTCCTTTATACCCAAAACATCTCATCACTAAATATACTAAACAACAAATATAACCCAAAAATTATCTTCTTGAATTAATAATACCACATTGTTGTCATATATGATGGCTTCTATAGTCAAAATACGTCTATACAGACTTCACCCATGGCTTCCCAAAGGCCATGTAGAAGCCCCTATTGCTGGCTCAATAGTACTTGCTGCAGTATTACTAAAATTAGGGGGCTATAGCATAATACAAATCACCCCGACCCCTCTTTATCCCTGCATTGTCCCTGGACCTTCCCTGGCTACAGTACGGAGCTGACCCTGCTCTGTTTATGCCATAGACCTGACTTTGATCTGGCCCTGCCATACCGTGGTTCAAACCTGGCGATGTCTTGCTCTGCCATTCCCAGGACCTGCCTCTGCCTTGTGCTATCCTAGTCCTGCCTCAGCCATGGCCTTTTCCCTGGCCCTCCCCACCCGTTGCCTTCACCTTTCCATGGCCCTGCCTTTTCCTTGGTCATTCTCTGCCCTTGCCCTTGTCATGGCCCCTTTCTGGCCCTGACTTGTTGTGGGTCCTCTCCTGTCCATTTCCCAACCCTGGTATTCCCTGTCCCTGCCCTGCCATCCCTGGGCACTGTCTTTGCTTTATACTGATTTTGCCTTCTCTTGGCTCTGCACTACCCTAGCTCTGCCCTGACCTGGTCCCCAGTTCATCCTGACCTTATCCTGTGCCAAGCCCTGGTACTGCCACGTTCCTGTCTTGGCCTTGATTCTGCACTGCTTTTGGCCCTAGCCTTGGTCCTATCATGTCTCTGGCTGTGACCCTGTCCCTGGTTTTTCCCTGACCATGACCCACCCAGGTCCTGCCCCAGCCCAGCCAACTGGGCACTGTAC